AAAAATAAAATATAATATATAAAAGTAATAAACAATATTTTTTAAATTTCCATATATTTCATACATTTTGTACTTTTATATTAAAATCAGAAAAATGTAGACATTCACATATAGATTTATAAATACATTGTTTTATTTCTTACTTGTTCTTTTAATTGTAAAAATGGTTCTCATAATACTCTCATTATCTATGTTAAAACTTCTCCCTTTTTTTATTTTTATTGACAACTCTGAATCAAAAAAAAATATTTTTTCAACGTATTTATCTTATTACGTTAATATATTTTAATACAAAATTTCAATATTACTACATTTTAAACAAAATAAAGAGATATAATTGCATAAATAAGTATTATATAATGAAAATTATAAGTTTTTTCTCTTATTATTAAGTAAATAATAGACCAAAATTGCGTTCACAAATATATGTCCTATCGTTCATTATTTTCTGCTTAAGATATTCGAATAGAGAATTTTTTTTTATTCTGTAATTAAGCATGATTTAGCAGCAACAAAATCTCGTTAAATATGCTTGTCCACACATATTATATAAAATAATCATTAATCTAATATAGATTAGTTAAATAATAATAAAAATTAAATTAAATCATAGTTAAAATAATTTGTCTTTTTACATATAATATGTGAAATAATCTAGAAATATTAATTATATGATGCGTATGATATTTTAGAAAAGAATTAATAAATTACAAATAATCTTGATATTCATTGAAGTACATATATTTTGAAATTTATAAAATTTAAGTAAACTTATTTTTTTATTGATTACAAGAGTATTTTTTATGCATGATGATTTATATCTATATATTTTTAAAATAATATTTGATACATAATGAGATGATGAATAAATTTAACTGGTAAGGATATTTTGATGAGTACAGTCGATAAAAAATATCTATATACCTTGATTATAATAAAGATTACATTTTCAAAATACATGTCCATATAATTATAGTATTATATATATTATTTACTCCAATTACGCAATTTATTATTTAACGGACATATGTTGAAATATATACTTTATATGAATGATTAAATTAGTTCCTATAATTGTATTTACAATAAAAAACAAGATTTTGTTAATAGAATATACGTACAGAAAATTTAAAAAAATTTTAATTCATAAAATGAAGTTCCAGAATTTATAAAAAAGAGAAAAACCTAAAGTATATATTATTTTCTCACTAATATATTTCTATAATGAAAAAAAATATATTTCATAGAATGCGTACTATATATAATTTAACTAAAGTCAAGCATATTCATCAAAATATATATAACACTTCCCAATTTAGACACCTGAAAATTATATTGTCTATACCCCTAGTTATATATTTCTTAAGACCTATTTATTTCCTATAAGATATATTATGCATAATCATAGATCATATTGGCATTTTGTCACATTAGACTTTTTGGCGTTGTTTTTATACATGCTCATATATTTTTTTAAAAAATATTTTTCAGATGCTTTAATTTATATAAAATAGTAAAGCAAAAAAAATTTGATAATTACATTTGTGCTATATAAACCTATAAAAATAAGGTTTTATTGTTATACTTATTTATATAGTATCATATATATTGTGATATTTTTAAACACATTCAATTTCTGTAAATTTATATAATTCTGAAAATGAACCATGAAGAAATTTATAAAATAAGAATATATATACGTATAATTGAATATAAATCATACAATACTGATTTTATATAAAGTACTTATAGTTCTTCTATGAAAATTTCTTACATACTTTTTAATAGTTAAATATATGGAAAATTATATAATTCATCGTATGCATAAATGCATTGGTTAAAGTACATTAAGTGCTTCAACTGTGTATATTTATTTATTTAAAACTGTATGACAAAATTTTGACATACTTTTTACATACCAACATAATGTGAAGCTAATATAAAATCCTTAATATATATTTTTTTATATACCCTACTTTAATTAATGCAGCTATATTTCAAATGTTTTATTTGTCATTCGTGATATATTATATGAATCTATTTAAATATAGAAATATAACATGTTTGAACATAAATAGTTAGATGCCTAATTTATCATATTAGACAAAGGAAGAATCTATAATTGTTATTTATATATATTATAAAACTAAGAATAAATATAATAAAAATACCTCTATCTATATTATTAACTAAATGTCATATGAATGCATATACTACATATTAATGTAATTCAAATACATAGTATAGTGATATATAATATTATATCGAAAATTTTCCTCTACATAATTATTGTATATTGGAATATGTATATAAAATCATTTATTAAAAACATTCTTATTCTAATCATAGTTATTTTAAAAATGGTTCATATAATTAGCAATGTAATAATAATACAGATATAGACTTCATATATAAAGGAAATAAGTTACATATATATCCTAAAATATGAAATTAAATAAATCACACATACTTTATATATAAGTCACTTAAAAATAGTATATTGATAAAGCTAAAAACGATATTTTATAACTTAAATTATAACGATATATATATGTTATATTGATGCATTTACTCTAACCCATTTATATATGATCTAATGTATTACATTTTAATTTTTATGTATAACATTTTTTTAATAATTTTTTAATTGACAATAATATAAAAAATCCAAGGTCTTATACTTTAATGGAACAAAAACTTGTAATTAATTTATAAGGTTATTATCATAAGCACATGGGATTGAAATAGCAATATAAGTAAAAAAACATTCACCTTTTTCACGAAGATTACAAACGATATTTATTATCTATTTTTTAATTTTTGTATATTATTAGGTATCAAATAATTTAATATCGTATTATATTCACCAAAAATATTGTTAATATATATATTATAAAAAATTTATTTGATCATATTTTAAAGGAGTATATATATAATGTTAAAAATAATGTATTACGCAGAATATAATTCAGGAAAATATAGATACAAGATTTATCCTTTTTCATAATAACATATATGTGTATTATAATAATATTTAATATATAACTATTAATTTCTATATTATGTCATTGAAACACATTTTCAGTAACTATTTCTATATGTATAATTGTGTTATGTATATAAGCTGTTTCACCATATAATGTTTACATATTTCATTATCCTACCTTAATTATCAAGACAAATATATTAAAACACTATATATATACGTATAAGTTATTTATTCTATAAAATAATACTGTATTTTTATTTCTTATTGAAAACATATTCTAACGAATTTATAGTAGAACTAAATACTATAATATAAAAAAAAATAATGCGTAATATATTATGTATTTGCTTATATTGTAAATTATCAATATATATAACAGGAATATAAAATAAAACATATATTTCTTATAATTCTTATAATGAAATATTAGTAGTATAAAAATTTGTTATGCAATAATATATAATATTTTTCAAAATTATATTATAAAAAAATCC